AGCCCATGGTCCGAAGCGAGCCACAACAAGCAAATTGAAAAGTGAGGTTGTCGCTGCATGATCCCGAGGAGCATCACGTGCGCCAGCGTCCAGGATCCTTTCGGCGAGCTACCGATCGTGTGCCCACCCGCTTGGGTCCGGATATGCTGGCTACTTGGCCAAGCGGTGGGACGACCAAGTCCAGGCCCTGTCCTCGTCTTGGTTCGAGAAGCACCGCGCCAATGCATATACCTCCTGCACGTAGGGTGACCTCCATCGTCTTGGCAGCGTGCCAAGGATCGATCCTCCTCGACCATGCGACTGGCGTAGTCGAAATCCCGCGACCGCCGAAGATACCGTCCGGATAACAAAACAACCTGCCGGACTCACAGAATTGAAGCCGTGTGCAATGGGTCCCATGACTTGGTAATGCGGAGGGGGTGGCCAACGCAACACCAAACGTAAGCTCCAAACTAGGCGAGAGCGAGCTCTTGCGTGAGGGGGTGGGTACCCACCTCAAAGATGAGGGGCCCACAATACGGAGAGTGCAATCCGCCCCGCCGTATCCGTACTCGACGGGCTCGATCAGGAGCCCGTCTGTGCACGCAACCAACGACTGTACCCGTAGCTTGTTGTGTGTAGTACTGCCTAGTCGCACTGCCTTTATGGACGGTGCAATCCTCTTGTATACAGAGGTGGACAAGGCATCTTCTCTGTAAAAATGGGGCCATTGCTCATTGCTCATTGCTGCAGAATGGCGAGCGTGCCGCATCCTACGCGCCCGAACTTGGATGTGCGTCGGTGTCTCAAATGGGTTCTTGGGCGGTTTTTGGTCTGCCCACTCGAGCACCGTTGAGTGGGATCCGCTCTCCTGGCGTGCGCGGAGCAAGTAGTACCTCGGATTTCTTGAAGCGGAAGCTTGCGTCCACGTTGTCTCATTTCTATGCAGTGGGCCTTCCAGCTCCGTCGTCGTCGTCCTGCGTTGAAGGTGGCGGCAATGGATGCGTTCCAACCAGCTGGAGACGACCGGTATACTGTAGTAAAAGCACGACCCAAGAAGCACGTGTGCACCAATGCAGCATTGGGCTTGTACACGCTCGCTTCACGTTATTGCGCGCGAGGGGCCGTTCCCGTTGGTTCAAAGAAGAGGAGGTCGCAGCCCAGATATCATCATCGCACGGTAGCTTTTGCGTTCTCGATCAGGAAATACTCACAAATGATACTCAAAAGGCAGATCGCGCATTGGCACAGTACACCAGTGTACTCCGTGTAATACGCCGTATCGCCCGTCTGCCTTCGAAACGAGTTCTCACGATGTGTACATCGTCGCCGACGCTTGGCGCCATCCCCGCCACCAGCTCCCGCCACCAAGCTCAAAAGGCTCGAAAGTGCCAGTTTCACGCGACCCTGCCTTCACAGCCTGCCACGTCATCGCTCGTTCGCCAGCAGGCTCGACAGCACGGTACCGCACAGTACAGGTCGAGCCCTCGTGTGACCCTTCATCCTTCCATGTAGTAGTGCTAGGACGAGCGTCCATGTCTCGCTTTGCGCCATGAGCTGTAGCGTGGAAAACACTTTGAGGGCGAGTCGTGTGCGGGTGTTTGCGAAGGACCCGTGCGCAAGCGCGCGTTGCGTCATCGCTGCCAGATGGCCATGGACGCCATTTGGCATGCGCTGCCGTCCAGTGCTCTCGGCGTTGGTCACACCTTGTATACAAAAGGCGAGTTGCACGCTGGTGCGACACGGCCCACTTGGTACACTTGGAGTACGCGGATTCCACATCTTGCCTCCACATCGCGAAAATCTGTGAACGCGAGCGCTTTGGGAAGAGGTGTGTCGCAGCACCTACGCGCTGCTTCAACAAATGGAGGGGCACCCCATTACGTACCCTTACTCGCTTCTCGCCGAGCGAATTCGTCCCCAGCTTCTTCCCGGAGCAGGCGGCTCGGCTACCTCGCTTCGTCGCCACTGGTACGAGGCGCGGGGCAGAGGGTGTGTCTCTCACACTTGATTCTTCATCGAGATCAAGTTCGACAGGTCATGCATGTGGCACGCTCACCAGACTCCATGTGGGCAATCTCCGAACAAGTTGCAAATAAAATGATCGCATTTTTGTGACCATATACAAGTTGCAAGTGTACATAAAACATACGCAATAAATTATGTCCCTTCGGTCCACTTGCGACACCTCGCGTTGGTGCCCAACCGTATACAAACACCAAGTACAACCCATTTGTTCGAAAACGGCGCCTGGTACCGTGGTATCCGGTTGCGTATCCGGACGAGACGCAAGATCGAACCACAGGCTCATTCGACATTCTGCGCGCTCCTCGGCAGCCATGGCAGCGTACCAGAGCATGACGACGCCCAACGACGCCAAGAACTACGTCAACGACGCGGGGCAGATCCAGTGGGGTGCCATCCCGCTCAACGCTGCCCTCGACAAGCTCAAGGCGACCCGCGAGGGTCTCTCGACCGCGGAGGCCGAGAAGCGCCTCATCGAGCACGGCCCCAACGCCTTGCCCAAGAACGAGGTCAACCGCCTCATGGTCTTCCTCGGCTTCATGTGGAACCCGCTCTCGTGGGCCATGGAGGTCGCCGCCGTCCTCTCCATTGTCCT